TTCCCTGGCATGGCTGAAGATGCTCTTTATAATGGTGGTGAGGCCACACTATTGCAAGCTCTTCATTTGGAAACCGAATGGCTCCCTCATGCTTTCAGGCTGAGAGAACTGATGAGTCAGGTGCATGGGCTATTGGGAGCCAGAGGCCCTGATAAATTATGTCGTCCTGCCTCGTTAAGGAGATGAAGGGACTAGCTCAAGGTCATGCTGTCAAAAGCAAGGCCACTCTAACTCCAAATATTAATACAAACTGCCAGTGCAAGTCAGAGGAAGAGGGACTTCTCTTTTTGCCACTCTTTGAACTCATTAACTGAACAGCATGGTACAAAATGAGCAACCTATTTTGTAGATGATTTAAATAAATGGTAAAGACTAGGGACATCTAGCATAGTGACCGTGACCCATCAAAAGTGAGGCTCTAATAACTTTCTGATCATGTTCATCCTTTATAGAAGTCAGGGAACTCAAGGACAGAATATTGTGCAGCATGTGATTTAATCATAGTATGCTTTATGTGTGTTACGTTTAGTTGAATTTTATTGCCCTTTTGTTCAAATTGTGGTTCTTTCATTTTAAATAATTAATAAGAATTATTTTTTTAAATGCTATCTTTTTTTAAACTTCTAGTTTAGGTTCAGGGGTACACATACAGGTTTGTTATGTAGGTAAATTTGTGTCGCGGAGCTTTGGTGTACAGATGATTTCATCGCCCGAGTGATGAGCATAGCACCCGACAGGTACTTTCTGATCCTCACCCTTTTTCCACCCTCCACCACCCAGCTGGCCCACTGTCTGTTATCCCCTTCTTTGTGACCATGTGTTCTCAATGTTTAGCTCCCACTTACTAGTGAGAGCATGTGGTAATAACAGTTTTTTAAATCCATTTCAATCAAGAACAGGAAATAAATATTCCAGATTCCCAGAAACATTTAAAATGTAAGTTTTAGAAATCTCCAAAAAGGACTTGGGTTAGGAAAAGCTATGATGTGCAGCTGCTTCACATTTGTCACATCAATTAGAAATAGACCTGAGATCAGTTCCACCATGACTCCTAACAATAGGATAGCTTTGTTAAAAAATAACCCCCAATGGGCAGGGCACGGTGGCTCACGCCTGCAATCCCAGCACTTTGGGAGGCGGAGGCGGGCGGACTGGCTGATCACGAGGTCAGGAGATCGAGACCATCCTGGCTAACACTTTGAAACCCTGTCTCTACTAAAAATACAAAAAAATTAGCCGGGCATGGTGGTGGGCACCTGAAATCCCAGCTACTCGGGAAGCTGAGGCAGGAGAATGGCATGAACCCAGGAAACGGAGCTTGTAGTGAGCCAAGATCATGCCACTGCACTCCAGCCTGGGTGACAGAGCGAGATTCTGTCTCAAAAAAAAAAAAAAAAAAAAAAAACCCAAATCACATAAATCTATTTATGGATAAATGATGTCCAACCAAGGGCTAGGTCTTATATAGGCCCAGTTTCTAGAGGATCTGCTTCTTGACATTGAGAACTCTATTTACCCAACATCTATTATAAAATCATGCATGTATGCAATTATGCATACAATTATCTATTGTTTTTTAAAAGGGGTGCAAGCTGTGTCATGGTTCTTGGGTTGAAGAGTAGTTTAAACAAGTCCTTTGGTTTAGGTTGCACACAAGAAGGCTTTACAAGATCTAATCTTTTCTAAACCTGTTATGCTCTTTGGTTCAGCAGAGATTCCTAATTGTAGCTATTAGTTCCCCTTTTTTGTGGTCCGTTCTGTCAATAGACTATTGAGTGTTCAGTAAATTAAACCCAACCAGCAGCCAACACATTGAGACAGACGTTAAATCATAGCTTGGCTGCCCTTATTCCTTACTGGTATCTGTGAAATGGCTTTTAAGCCCAGGCACAGGATTTAACATGATGCACATTTGTGTCACTCTCAAATTTCCATCCTGTACAATCAGGTATGTGAGGGCTTTTTTTCTAGGCAACAGGTGTGTTCTTGGAATAAAGTTCAGCCCCCACTTCTGGCTGATGTGAGAGGCAACAGCTGCAAGCTTAATGCCAATGACACATGGTTCTATAAGCCAGAGAAAAAATAAACAGCATGTTCAAAGTATTAAAGTCATGGGCAGATGGACTATAGCTGCCTGTACTTTTCTTTGTGTTGTAGAGCTGGAGTCTAAACTTTCAGATGACAAGTGTTTCTTTCTTTCTCTCTTTCTTGCTTGTCTTTCTTCCTTCCCTCTTTTATTATTTTCCTTCCTTTCCTCTATTTTTTAAAAACTAGTGAGAACATAACATTTCCTTAAGCATTACATATTCATTATTGAGAATATTCCTTCATCTGAGTCATCTTGTTTACAGCCTGATGAATGAAGAGATGAAAAACTTAATATTAATCAAGCTACACTTTATATCTCACTTTGTTCTAAAAAGAACTTAAAGGGACTGTTTACTGTGCAATTTGAAGACAGCACGCAAATCTTTTTAAAAAAATGCAAAGTTAAATACACTTATTTATAGGCCTCATTATTCTCCTATAAAAGGTTTCTATCTAGAATTTTTGACATACTCCTAATGAGTTATAATGTACTGTGTACCTCAGAAGCCTAATGTTGACATTAATTAATAGTAACCATAGTGATACAATGATTACTGTGATAGTGTTGAAGAGAGAAAATGTTCATCAATCACTCAAGCATCTTTTTCAGTGTATTACAGATAATATTCCTTTGTGTATGCTAGCATTCAGGAGTTATCATGTCTCAGAATATAAGAGGCTCAGCCACTCTCTTGCTACATACAAGGTTTCTTGTACACAAAAACACTGAAGAAAAGAACAGACTAGAGTAGTAACGATAGAGCTGTGGAATATATTTGATGCGGACGCTTCTTAGTGCCCAGGTTTTTCCAGAACTCATATATATCAAGGCTTGTCTCTTTCACCAAGGGGTGTACTTCAACAGAAATGGAGAAGTATCTTTGTTTTTCTCAGATGTGGCAAACAAATACATTGCAATATGATGAGATAAGCACCTATTTAATTACAATCTTGGAGCCTCTGGCATAACCGGAGTCACTGGATCCCCTGGGAGACTGGTGTTGTGTGTTGCATATGATGTCTAATTGGGAGGGGAGCAAAGAGAGAATCCCTTTATACTTTTTTGTTAAGCCCCAAACCACAACTTTATTGAAGAATCAGATTTTCTGTGAATCTATACTGAAAATGGTTTTGCCAGGATTGTGCTGTTGCTGAGAAATCTATAGGTAGGTGGATTTGGAATTCAATCCTTAGTGAGAAACAAAGCTCAAAGAAAAAGAAGAATCCAGCGACAAATGTCTTTTTATGTTTTTAATTGGTTTGGCTATCACATTAGATTTTCACTAAATGCATGCAAACAATGACTAACCCCGGAGATGATGCTAATATGTTTTAAAATACGAAAAGTGTCTAAAACTGGCAGGCTAGCTTAGGTAGCTTTAAAGTTCTCTTCCAATCCAGAGATTATCAAACTCTGTGTTTTTGCTTTTCCTCAGGCTCTACTTTATTCAAAATTAGAGTAAGATACACATAACATAAAATTTACCATCTTAACCATTGTCAGTGTATAGCTCATTAGTGTTAAGTATATTCATATTGTTGTACAATCTCCAGAACTTTTTAACCTTGGAAAACTGAAACTCTGCACTCATTGAACAATTTCCTGTTCTCTGCTCCCTCCAGCCTCTGGCAAACACCATTCTACTTTATCTCCACAAATTTGACCACCCCAGGTACTGCAAATAAGTGGAATCATACAGTATTTGTCTTTTTGTGTCTGGCTTATTTCACTTAGCATCATGTCCTCAAGGTTCATCCATATTACAACACGTAACGGCATTTCCTTCCTTTTCAAGGGTGAATAATATTCCATTGTATGTAAAGACCACATTAAGTGCATCTGTCAGTGCACACTGGAGTTGCTTCCACCTCGTGGCTATTGTGAATAATGCTGCTATGAACATGGGTGTCTCTTGGAGATGCTGCTTTTAAATTTGGGGGATATACATAGAAGTGAAATTGTTGGATCATATGGTAGTTCTTTTTTTTTTTTTTTGAGGAGCCAACATTCTGTTTTCCACCATGCCTGCACCACTTTACATTCCCACCAACAGTGCATAGAGGCTCCAGCTTCTCCCCATCCTAACCAGTACTTGTTAATTTCTGTTCTTTGGATAGTAGCCATCCCAATGGATGTGCGGTGATATCCTCAGGCCGCATTTTAGAGAAAGAAGAAGGGTGGCTGGTGACTGAGTCAGCTCAACCAGGGGAACTTTTTTAAAGCATAAATCAAATCACCCTGAGTCCTCTGCCCGGTGACCCCAGGTGGTTTCCCATCACAGTGGGAAGGAGAGCCAAGTCCCTCAGTGTGACGAGAAGAGCATGTTGTACTCTGAGCCCTTGTTATCCTTCTCCCTTATCTTCTCCCAGACGTTCTGTTCTGCTGGGAACACACCACGCTTGCTCTGAGCCTTTGCTCTTGCTGTTCCCTCTGCCTGGAACTCTCTTCCCCACATCTCTCCACAGCTCACTACCTCTCTCCATCAGGTCTCTGCTCAGTGTCACCTCAGATACACCTTCCTATCTCAAGCAGTATCCCTGCTTCCAGCACTCTACATCATGACCCTGCTTTCTTACTCTTTTCGTACTTAACACTACCTGAATTCGTTTATATATTTGTATATATCATCTGTTTCCCAGACTAAAGTGGAAGTTCTGTGAGAGCAGGATGTGGCCTATCTTGTTCATCCCCATGCTTCTAGCTTCCAGAACAGTACCGGGCAAGGCTCTATCCATAGGCGTTGCAGGAACAATTAAATGAATGAATGGGCAAATGAATGTTTTAGCCACCATCTGCCTAGCCAGAGTAAAAAAACAAATAAATAAAGATCTCCTCAGGCTGTTTAGAGTTGTCAGAGGCTGGGCTAGTAAATTTAAACTCTCCACTGAGAACAGGGGAGGAAAGTACTTACGTGGGTCTCTACATCCCCAGCAAGGATCCTACTGTTCTTTAAAAACTCGGCCACCATACTGTTCATCAGCTTGTCAAAGGCTTCCACGGAGGGTGCCACACCTTGGGGAAAGGAGCATTTTGTTATTCCCTGGCAGTTGAATGAAAACCTGGGACTAGCCGGCACGGTGGCTCACACCTGTAATCCCAGCACTTACGGAGGCCAAGGCGGGCAGATCGCCTGAGGTCAAGAGTTCAAGACCAGCCTGGACAACATGGTGAAGCCCGTCTCTATAAATATACAAAAATTAGCTGGGCGTGGTGGTGGGCACCTGTAATCCCAGCTACTTGGGAGGCTGAGGCAGGAGAATCGCTAGAACCTGGGAGGTGGAGGTGATCTCAGTGAGTCGAGATCACGCCACTGCACTCCAGCCTGAGTGACAGAGCGAGACTCCGTCTCAAGAAAAACAAAGAAAAGAAAACCTGGGACTGTCTTGCCATAGGCAATATGGAAGTTTAATATCATCAATGTCGTTCTCACTAATTCATTCACTAAGTCATTCCTTCACTCAATCAATGTTTTTGTTATTTGTTCCTTGAGACAGAGTCTCACTCTCTATCACCCAAGCTGTGCTGGCGTGATCTTGGCTCACTGCAACCTCCATCTCCTGGGTTCAAGTGATTCTCCAGTCTCAGCCTCCCAAGTAGCTGAAACCACAGAAGTGTGCCACCATGCCCGGCTAATATTTTTATTTTTTGTAGAGACAGGGTCTCTCCATGTTGGTCAGGCTGGTTTCGAACTCCTGGGCTCAAGTGATCAACCCACCTAGGCCTCCCAAAGTGCTGGGATTACAGGTGTGAGCCACCATGCCTGGATCTCAATCAATGTTTATTAAACATTTCTCAACAGCTCCGGAAAACACTGTTTTCCTATTTTTCATCCTCCTGAGTAAAGATGCTACATAATTTCATTTCATTCCCTCTGAACCCAGGGAGGTAGGTAGCACCATTGCAATATTACAGATGAGGAAATGGCTGCAAACACAGCACTTGACTGGGCCACAGTTACAGACCAAACAAAAGGCAGATCCAAAACCTGAACCCAGCCGATTCATTCAAAGCCAGTGGCCCTTCCTCCATAGCCACCTGCTCAGGTGCTGTAATGACCTTACAATCCCAAGATTACCTAGGACAGTCAGAAGGTAATAATGAACTCTGGGCAAGGAGGAAAAGAAAGCTGATTTCACTCCTTTTCTTCCTTCTTCACCCCCAGGGGGCACGAGGACAACCACAGTGGGAGTGAAACTGACTGCTGAGGCCATACCCCTTGGGTTCAGAGCTGCCAAATTACTGGCAAAGCTCAGGTGGCAACTGCCCAACAGATGTGCTCTGCATTTCCTTCCCTGCCTTTTAATTAACAGAAAAAAAATCTAAGTCCCTGATTTCATGTCCCTAATATTGAGAAATACAATACTGAGAAACTATGAAAACTCTAACCAAAACCTAGGATTCCTTTCCTCATGTTGTACAAATATATCATCCATGCTCACACAACTATTAGGTGAGTGTCTGTCTTTTTCTTTTTCCCAATTACCCATTTCCACGGGCCCAAAGGGTGATGGAAATGTTATTTACGGCTCTCTGCAGGTGTGTTGTAACTTCTGAGCAGGATGCTGAAGCTAGATGTTGAAGCTGAGTAAGTTACCTTAAAGTTCACAGCACAGTATGTAACAACTTCTGGATCATAAGAAGGACACAAGCCCAAAGGCTCCTTATGGATCCCTTCGGAAACAGATAAACCTGTTTGTTGCTATGGAAGAGGCCACAGGCGGGGCACAGGGTGCGGGGCGGGGGAGGTGGGGTGCGGTCTCTGCTGAGTATTTAAAGTGGGAGAAAGTTTCAGAAATGTGTCAGAGTCCTCTTCTGACAGAGCAGAAGGTACAATGATAAAAGGGAATATGTTCCAGTTTCCTTTCATCGTTCAGCTCTGTTCACACCTCCTGCAGGCAGACCTGTCTTTCTCTCCAAACTGCATCCTTTGAGCATCCCTTAATCAAAGAATTTGGGGCCCTGAATAGTAATGCATTAAGACCAAAGATTCTGGAGCATTAGGACTGC